AGTACACACTGTAGGAATACCTCTGCAAGGTGCACAAGCACAAGCGCAAGAGTTGTGATGGTGTGGCAAAATGTGCATTTATTATAAGATTTCAAAGTGCAATGATAATTCAAATCAAGCAATATCGACTATTTTGAGTAAACAGATGTGTGAAAAATGGTTCAGATTCAAGAAATTTACATGAAAAGTTTTGAAATGCTCTTTCTGATTAGGGTTTTTACTACAAAGTATGTTGAACTTAAATCTTTAATTCAAAATATATTTACATTTTCGCAATATCAACTGAGCTAGTGCGCCCAATGTAAGAGGATTCCTGGTTGATCACACTGACATTGTGATTTATTAAAGTGAAATTTTCTATTTTTTTTTAAATCAAACTAAATTTGTTCAGTCCATTCAAGAAAATTTAGCATAATTCTAAGCATAGAACATCTCTATCAGCACAGAGTGCAATGAGCAGTCTCTAACTTCTCGAAGACTAAACTACAAGACTTGATTGATACATAGTATCTATAATACTGGTTTGAGAAGCTCTGCAGTGTGTTTAGTGAATATTATTCTATGCTAAGACTTGTCTTTTTAATTAAACAATTTTATATTATTGATTGTAATATATAATCAGATGACCTTTTTTACCACCAAGTTTATATTTAAGATATTGTTTTCACATTTTACTGAATATCTTTACTAAATTAAATGCAACTATCGACCTGTTTATTTTTATAAATATTTATAAATTCAACAAGCCAATCAATGAAAACGTTCCAATGTTATTCCATCGCCCAATAGAAACCTCTAGTTTCAGTTTGAATTATGATATTTGTAAATATTTACAAAAATGGATGTGCTGTTCCGACAGTACTTGTAATACTGTTTGTTACCTTGTTTATTTATTGATGGAACAGATATCTAACATATTATAAGCTTTGACATATTGTACAGGTTATCACTTTGTACGTTTTCACTGGAGTTTAATAATGGTATTCAAATTTTATTCAAATCGGCAAAGACATTGATCATATCATACCAAATTGTTATTTTCAATTACCGTTCAGAATAAAATTAAATGTGAATACGGTGTATCTACTTTGAGGAATCTGCCGATAATGTATGTCATTCTTATCTGTTTTCAGTTTATTGTCTTTTTGATATTGCCTATATGCAGATCTAGGGAAGGGTTCTTGGGCCCAGACCCCTTCTTAACAAAAATATTAAATTTAATTACAAATCCAATTACATGTTGAGCGCTATGTTTCGCTGTATGAAATGAATGTCCAAGGAGTGTGGTGGTGTTACAAACACTTATTACCAAGATTATCATTGGTATCGCTTTTATATACGCGTTTCCATGCCGCTTCACATTTATTGCTCCTACATTTATATTCCCAGTTAAAGTCAAAGGGATTTAGAGAATTGTTATTTAAGTCCTTCAGAAAATTTAAAACATTGACGCGAAATTATGGTTGTATATTAAGGATCCCTGCGATGTTGACAGAAACATTGTGTAACCGAGTTCCCATACATTATTTACATTCAACTAGTCACAGATTTCAGATGATAGATTCATACCAGTAGTTATACGAATCGTGTCACTTTCAGCATGTTGTGAGTGTGCGTCTTTACGCACAGTAACATACATTTTGCTATAGTCAAGGATGCAAAGAATTTTAAATCGTTTTAGGGAATTGTCCCTGTAAAAGAATTGATTATTCGCCCTAGATTTCGAGCAAAAAAACGTGAAGGTCAAACGCCACTGACTTTTGCGCAATCTTCTGTGAATTTTAGATAAGAGTGATAACTTAGTTCAGAGATTAGAAACTTATTAGAGACGCTAGAAGAATTAACATTTGCCGAGTAACAATGGTTAAAAGCCATTTGTGAAAATGCTAGCATAGAGAAAATACATTTTAAAAACAAGCGGTTACCGTAATAGGGATAACGAGCATGTTTTTCTTGATATTGCATCATGATTAAAAACAAATGAACGGTATTTAAATATTGCTGTATTTGAAAACTCGCGTTTTTCGGGTATACCATTGAAATGTACTACAGTAATTAAAGTTGCAGCTCAAACATTTTTTTTTACAGTTTCATACATGCTCTGGTTTCACTGCTTCATCAGATCATTCAGTTTTGAACAAATGTTGCCATCATGCTGCATACTCCCCAAATGTTTACACTTGTTTGCAGTGAGAAAAAGTTTGATCAGAATGGTGTTCCGTTTTTATTTCTCCTTTCTTTAACATTACAGCTCATATTTATTTACGCATTGAACTTTCTGAACTGGATTAATATTACACAGATAATGATGAAATAATCGCTCCAAGGTCTTACATGAATGTCCAACTTTGATACATTGTTTTTTTCATAGTTATAAGACGCCCTCTAAAGTGTAGTTATATTAAATACACACCCAGATATCTAGCGATTTGTATCGCTAAGTATTAAACAGATCCATAGTTTCAATTAATCAAGTGGTCACGTTACATACTTCCGGGTACGACAGTATCCATATAAATAAATAACCACAAATGTATTTATTCACTTAAGCATATATTTAATAACAATGGTATACAACAATTACAAATATATATAATTTATATCAATTGTTATCAACACATGTACAAAACAAATATCGACTCAAATACAAACATTTTTATAACAGGCTCCATACAAATATTTAATATACATCTGGCGGCGAAAATACTATACAGCTAGGAACGTGTTCGAGTGTTTTAAGAAAGTCTTCCATATTTGGAAAATGCGCGTCATATTTACATAACATTCGAACACTTTCACGCAGAACAATTTAGCGAGCGACGCAGGTAAACGCAAAATATAACACACAGACAGGCATGAATCATGTTTTCCGCTAACATTTCAGTTTGTTGTATCTCTTTAAATTACGTCTCCTAGCAGCCAGAGTTTTTAAATTATTTATGGTTATCACGAGAATACAACAAAGTACGCACGAAGGCAGTACGGTATCGCATCGACCTACGCGATATGATCACCGTGCCGCTTTTCGTGCATACTTTGCGATATTCTTGCAATATCTTTCGAATATCGCAGAAATGAAATAATCATCGGTGAGAAGAAATTCGTATATAGAAATAATAAATTAAAACAATTATAAACTGTATTAGTATTGATAATGTCCATTTATATAGCACTCATAAACTGACAAAGTGTGCGTTAGGGGGCGCTGCACATTATTGATCTGGTTCATTGCTTTCAAAAACTGAATATAATTCAGTGGAAATATTCGAAAAAATACAAATATTACCATCATTATACACACAAAATACAGCATAAAATGACTGATTAATCCTATAAGCAATAAGTTTGAAATATTCAAATAGAATATCTAAGAAATTAAATAAAAACTGTCAAATATTTTTACTTGTATATTCTGGTTCAAGGTATTTCATAAAAGAGAAATCGATAGATCTTTGTATGCGTTGATACAAAGTTCACATACATACATACAACATGTGAAATATATGGCTGGCATATCTTATTCTACGTATCATCTCAGAACGCGCTACAATACAAATAAATAAAAGGCACAAATCCAGAAGCCGTACCTACACACAAATGAGTGACGTCACAAAATACACGACCTTCAATCGGGGTCGTGGGGTCAGTATATACGAATTAGTATATATAAATTACAATAAAGATACTCAAGTCATTACCAATAAGGTGCAATAAGGTGGAACAAATCACGGGACAATATGATAATAACGGAAATAAATCCTAGCTTATTAGTTGAACAGAACGAACATATACTAGTCAGTACGGTCATGCCAAGGTAAGTTTTGTCAAAGAGGATTTTAAACTATTCATTATCGATTTACTACTTAGACTTTAGTAAACACTAAGTTTGTGAAAAAGTATTTTATATCATTGGGGGGGGTACTTGCCTATATCTGTTTTTTTTGAACACGGTGATGGCAATACAGTATTATTAGTAGTACTATCACAACCAGTTGTATATTATGTATCACAAGTGACAACATTGATTTGGCAATATTGACCATTTAGTGTCAAAGTGTCATTTATCTGGGTGCAACAGTGAGTTAGCACACGTCGAGGGCATGTGGATGCATGTCAAAAAGCATGTCAGGACTACCTCTACGGCATTTGTTTTCTTATTTATACGAGTTTATGTGGTGAAAACGTTTTGGTGAGTGGTCGCCACTTCTTCAGCATATCAGAGTTCAGCGTAAATTATTTCAATTATATTGCTATACAAGTTGTGTAGCCCTGTCAAGATCTTGTTGGCCCGGCTGGTAATTCCTTGTTCCGGGATCCTACTCGGGGTTACGAGTTGTGTGCATACATGTATATATATATATATATATATATGGGGCAGTTTTAGATCTCAAGCCTGTCTCCCAAAAAATAAAGCCTCAAACCCCGCCTAAAAACAACCCACACACTAACACATGCGGATACACCCACGGTGTCCGCATCAAATCAAATAAAAAAATAGAGTATAAATGGCACAACTTCAGTAATATGCTTTGCATCCACATTATCATTACATTGAATACAAACGCACACTAACTCACTCACTTTATACTTCTGGAAACTGAACACTGAAAACAAACACATTACATAATTAATAACAGAACACAAGAATACTACCTCACATGGAAGCCAGTCACAGCCGTCGAAGCGGGGGTCGAAGTACGAACAGGGTTAACAGCTGCAAGTCACATGCACAACAGACACGAGAATAATTGCTGCTTTCCAAATGGGTCCTTTCTTTTGTAATGACCCCCTAAAGATTTCTAATTCCCCCTTTCTAACTCTTTCCCCAAAAAATAATATATCGCCTCTATGACCCACAAATTATGGTACACAGTAAGGTATTTGACGTTTCTGGTTAAGACGTTACGTAACCATTGTTTGTTGGGAAAGACTCCGTACATTGTGCAAGGTTGTGAGGAACAGTTGTTATCTTGTTGAGAAAGCGTTAGTTGATTGAAGGCTCAGTTGACGTTCTCGTATTCAGGTGGTCTCCGGCGAATGTCACCAGTTAGCCAATATGTCCACATTGCACCTTTGCCCTGTAACAATAAACGTTGTCGCTGGGCCAATTAGCATATACCCAAAATGTACACCAAACATCAGTCTCGACAAAAATGTACTTTCTTTCCCCAATTTTGCTTCATTGATGGGTAAAATAAAATGCAAGAAATTCAACAAAAAGAAGTCCTACTACAGTGCGAGGTTATATTACATACTCGTAATTTGGGCGACACCACGAGACTGTTTTTTTACAGAATATATATAGTAAATACAAACATAGCTACAGTTCCACGTTACCTTGATATTCAAAATACCTCTGGGTTCGTTGATAAAACAGATATCTTCTAATTTATCCAATGCATCTTTGGTGTCTTGACTTATGTGTATTTTACACGCTATAGAGACATGATAAACAATATGAACATCATTCATAGATATGGTGATGAGTGTCACTGCCCGTTGCTTGAAAGCAACGTGTGTTACGCCCCTAACGCCAGGAAATGACCAACAAAAGATCAAATCACTATCAAAGGTATCACTGGATTTTTACAATACGTGAAATTTACTTACAATGAACCAAATACCTAAGTTTAACAATACTCAAACGTTGGAGAATGCACTGTGTCACATCCATGATCATACTGCACTTCGCATTCTTCTATGAAAATGTCAAGTGCCGGACGTTTCAGTCCTCGGACACAAAATCTTTTACGATAAATAAAAACTTGCTGGATTTAATAAAAATAATGGTTTTCATTTCTTGGCAAATATTGCAATTATCGACACTCATGTAGACAAGTGCACAACAAAGTTAAAGCCCCTTTCACAATTGGCGCCTCACTCGTGCGATAATTTTTTTTTCGAAAATATTTTTTCCGTTCTGTTGTAGAAGTGTTGTCTTTGAGTCGCAAGCAATATATAAAATCGTACGAGAGGTAAACGACCACTGCACCAGGATACAACAGTCGTGAGACGTAATCGTGCGATTATTTTCATGTTTCCGGGTGCAACAGTCGTACAACGGTTGAACGATGATGCGACCAAGTCGCACGACATATGCGTTTTGTAGCGCCATATGTCGCGCGACCTAGCGACCCGTTGTACGACTACTACAACTGATCGTACAAGGCTACGACCCATTGTGCGACACACCGCACCACCTGTCGCGCGAGGTGTTGGCCTATACGACAC